CTTCAGATTAGTAAATTTAACATGTTTGTAGTAAATTCATTTAATCGATATTCAGCACAATTTCCATAAAATAATCAATAGAAACAAAACACGAGCAATGGAAATTAAGTATCCTCTCTTCCTCATAAACACATTAATTCTTTTACAATTACTGACAAAGAGAAATGATAAATACAGATAAATATATTAAATCACTGGTGTAAAATAATTTATCATAAAAAATAAAGTATTAACATCTTAACTAAAATACCATTAATTCTCTTATAAAAAAAAATTCTTTTTAAACAATCTTTCTTTCTTTTAAAAATATCAATCAATAGATCTTATCCAAAAAGTAATTTTATCAATCAAATTCAATCAATTGATGGATACATTGTTACTCAAAGAATGTAATCTATTTAAATGCGGCCATTTATCAATTGAACAAAGGATCAAACTTAATGTTCTTATAAAAATAAATTTATTAAAATCATTTCTTATGTTAAGAAAAAAAAAAAAAAAAATTCAAACTATTTTGATAATCCTACTTTAAATACGTCAGATATCCAGTGGCGACTATCTTAAAACCATTTAACTCTGCTTCATAATATTTTGTATACTCAATTTATAAATATATCTTCCTTTATTTATTAAGTAAAGAATAATTTCAATATCTAATCCTTATGTTATTCCTAGACAACAATTACTTCCCCTAAATTCATGAAAATATGTAAAATATAGAAAAAAGACCAGTGTACAAAAATCCTACCACTCCCTGACATTGCCTCAATTGTTTAGTAAGTTACAATAGCCCTAACTGAAGGTAAACACTGAAAAATTTAGGAGGTTATCATATATTTATGTGATATGATTTAACATTATTCAATATATTTGATAACAGAGTTGCAAAATAAATTCATTCATATTTTGACATAGTTTATTATGAGTATTATCTGATAAATATGTTTATAATACAAAGGTCAAATTGTAGTTGGTAGAAATGTTATTTGTATACAATTTTATGCAGTTCTTAATCAGGAAACAAGCATTGTTTTTACTACATTGAACAAACTTATTATATAACTCAACAATTATAAAATGTTTGTGTGTTTAGTTTTCACTCTCTTGAACATTTATTTTTGCTTGGAACTGTTTGAGAAAAGCTACATAATCTTCATTTTTGTGTTAAAATCATTTATATTTCATATAAGCAACAGAAACAAAAAGTATATTTTAAAGATTAAACATTAAAAAATCTTAAGTAGTAGTTATTTAAAAACTGATGGGTTCAAAGGCCTTAATCAGTCATCTTTAATTACAGAAATAGTTTTAAAATTCTATACCTGAAGATAACTGATTAAGGCAATCAAAAAATTTGTTTTTTAAATAAATCTACTGGTTTGAAAGGCTTTTTCCATTAGTTTTTTTTTTTTTTGGTCTAAAGGTTGATATATACAAGTGTAATTGTGCTAAATTACATCTATTTTTATTGTTTGAAACATAAATGTGATCAAAATTATTGATTGGCATTTCACAACTTTTCAGAATAATAAAATAGTAATAACTGATGCTTGATAATAAAATCAAGCATCACATATTACTATTCATTAGCTTTTAGACTGTAAAATAACTGCTTATGCAGAAACCAAAATATTTATTTTAATGGAAAAAAAAACAACCCTAATCGGGCTATCTTGTTTCTATTACAATCTTTCAAACAATCTTATTATTATTTTTTATAGAATTATTGTTTTAAATCTAGGATTTAAAACAAACATTATATAATGAATTTAATACAAAATTTTTGTTAGAACATAAAGAAGTTTGTATAATAGTCTCTATTTTGTTTTCAGTTTCTATCATATTTTTTGGTAAAATAAATGTATGGTTCTCAATCTTTCTGAGGCTGTGGAACATCATTAGTATACTTTTTATTATGCAGAGCATTAGCATCAATACATTGAAAAATCGATAAGGAATTCCACATTTATCATTCTTGCAAACAATATGGCAATAAACTTTATTGTATTGAATTAAATAGTGAATGTGGAATTGCCTATGAATAAAGTAATATGTTGTAGTACATTAGAATAAATTTGCCCTAGAAACTAAAAAAAAAAATTTTTTTTGGTGGAACACTGGGAGCAAGTTTGTAGAACACCTGCATTCTGCAGAATATGGGTTGAGAACCACTGATCTAAAAGATATAATGCCAAGTTTTGTGCATTATAAAGCTATTCATTATAATTTATGCACTCAACTTTGATTTAAAAATGAATTAAATCACAATTTGAACAGTTACTGTGAAATTAGTCTAAAATTTGTTTAAATAATCAACCACAGTGGAATACAATCCAAATTAACAAGAAAACATTTTCTCAAATTATCATCTTCATAAATCAACATTGGTAGTATAAAAAGTAGCCAGAACTTTGCAATGAATGAAATTATGTTCCAAGTCTCTCAATTAGAGAAAACTATGAAGATAAATTTGGCTGATGACAGTTTAAAGCTAGCTATGGTATGGTCTTCTCAAAATCCAAAATTTACAAATATGTAATTTGCTTTGAATCGTAAAACAGAAAATTTCTCAATTTGCCTTTACAACAGTTGAAGACCTACAACTGGCTAGCAAAGGACTGCTTAATGATTTCAAACTGTCAACAGAGAAGCAAGAAATGAATAAAACTGAAGAAATACACAATTCAAAACAGGAATCTTTGTAATCTGGCAATAATTTATAGCAAATGAATATTTTCAGCCAGCTTAAATTGCCATTTGAAGATTCTGAAGAACTCAAATGGCTACTTAAGCTAGCTAAAAATATTCATTTATTATAAATTATTGCTGAATTGCAAAGGTTCTTGCTTTGAATTGTCAATATGGAAGGAAGTATTCAGAAGGAAAGAAGTACAGTTGTCTCTCTATAGTCCGACATTTTTTAATCCGACATGCTCAGTAGTCCGACGTCCCCATTACGTGTCTGCTTGCACAGAAGCATGTTGCGATGTGAATCTCCCCATCCAATTCTTACTCGATGACACACATTTCGTGTGTTTTATGTGAGCAGTTCTGTTCGAACAGTTGGAGTAGAGAATATTGTAAGTTACTGCTAGCAAAACAATGCGAAATATGTAATTATTTTCGGTAATCTGGACACTTGGTAATCTGACACACCTTTGGTCCCATACCTGTCGGATTATCAAGGGACAACTGTACAAGATGAAAACAGGAAAATTTTTCAATCTCTACATTTGCAAATCAATTACCTGATTGCTGCTGTAGAAAAAAATTTGAGAACTGGCCTAGGTAGAGTACAAAGTAGCTACAAATCCCTGACAAACTGTCTTAGCCCCAGTTGAATCTCAGTAACAAATCTGATAAATGATAAAGCTGCTGCAGATCCAATATGTCCTAGCAGCCTTGAAACAGACATACTGATTAACAATGATTCAAAGTAAATTATTGTGTAAGAAAATCTCTCAACTCTACAACAGTTGAAAATTTAAAAATGGTTATTAGGGAATACTTAATGGACTGATTAATGAGATAAGACAATGCAAAATATGAGAAATCTGCCAAGGCGGATGCCTCTCTATAGGAAACTCATCCCGATTTAGCTGTCAGGCACACAAAAACCCAGAAAACTTCACGTGGCCAGACCATTGGTGAGCACAAACCCACAACAGACCACCAATATTTGGTAGTTTCATGCACTTGACTACTAGCAAGTCGACTTCCGACCGTCGATACAAAAGAAATTAAGATCCAAAGAAAAATCAAAATTTGTACAGAGAATGAAGCCAGGAATACAGGTAGCTTGTAACTAGCTTACATGTAGACTTCGTATGAATTCTTTGACACAGAATTAGAAAAAAATATATTTTTCTCATAGTTCAGCATCTTTGTTACATTTTTCAAGCTCGTAACCTTCATGTAATTATCTTGATAAATCACAGAAACAGTCGAAATTAATCAAACAACCAAACAATTTTTGTTCTTACTAAAACATAAGTATGTGCACTGTAGGCCAAGTAAAATGCAACACCTCGACGGACTATAGAGACTGAAACTTTCTTCATGGCATCTCATTTTGCTTGGTTGGCAGTGTATTTTCAAAAGTAGCAACTTCAATTCCATTTTACTTAAATTTTGTTCCATGTAACATTCCGATGGACCTGTAGACGTTTTAATCTTATAATAAATTGATTTATTTTGACTGGATTACAGGTGTTAGTTTGTTTTTTTAATGTGTTCTCATCCAGACTTGCAGTGTCTTTTAATACATATTTTAACCAACTTTTAAACAAGAAGCAAACATAAAATGAATGAAACTGATAACTGTTTGGTACAATTTAAGCTGGGATTATAATTATCTGATGATTTATAAGGGAATAATTCAATTAGAAAGAATTGGAAAGGTACTTACAACAAATTGCCAGGTTTCTTCGGTGTTATGGCGCATAAAGGTATTAAAAGAATAGAAAGAAAAAATAAAGACATGTAGAATCCTATGACTTTTAAATAAAATTTCGCTGTACTGCTTATAAAAAATAAAACGACGAGAAGTGCGACGAACATAAACAACACCAACATCACCATCTTTCGTTTGTTTCTCTGTTTGCAGACGAATTGACAAGACCTCTGGCGGATGGAATTAGAACTATGCATTTTTCTAGAAATTTTTAAAATATTTTACAGAAAAATGACTTATCTACATTTATCTTACGTTAATTAATTTTTATTATAAATTTGTTTAAAGAATATTTAATAAAAAACACAATATAATATGCCGCGATTCTAATTAAAAATATATTAACGAACTAATTTCAAAAATATTTGTGCACGTGACGGACGAATTATACGTGAATGGATGGAGTAGAATCCCTTTTCAGGTTCCAGAAGAAATTAAAATGGCTACTTACTACAAAATTGATAAAAATATTCATTTGTTTTAAATGACTGCTGGATTACAAAGGATTTTGCCTTGAATTGTCAATCTGAAAAGAAATATTGAGAAGGGGATAAGTACTGTACAAGGTGAAAAAAAAAATTTTCAATCTTTACATTTGTACATCAGTTATGAGTATGCCAGAAAGTTCGGCGACGAGGATTGTGATAACTGATACCAGAAGCTTTACGATAAACGCCACATCATGAAACTATGGGCAATTACAAATAATTATTTATTATCCACGGATTTCTAAATAATGGATGCATTTTGGTTCAAAATTCGATAATTTTCCTTTTCTGTAATTTCGTCCACGAACTAAGTTGTCATTTTGGAGGACATATTATTTTCGTTTTGACTTTAAAAACTCAAGCAATGAGTTGCGTAACTTTCCCGGCAAGAATTAAGAATTGTGTGGCACCATCGGTTATGAGATTTTATTTTAAAATCTTTTTATGTTAATATAAAATGGCAAAAAGCTTAATTTTTAGATAGAGTTTTATATAAGATTAGGATAGAGATGAGTTTTATATAAATAAAAGAAATTGTAAATGCTAAAAACGAGTAAAATCTTCATTTAAGTCTGACCCCATTCGAGATAAACACGATGACTCCCCGCTATCATTCCATTTCCTCGACTTTTTATCACCAAACTTTAGTAGCATCAATCTTCCTAATACACAAATCATGCAAAATTTCAAAAATTTTGACGAAAGACACAGGAGTTATCAAGCTTCCGATTCGTCAATCAAATCACGTGTAATTCAATAGCCAATCAAATAAATTGTCACGGCCTCTACGACAATTCTCCGTTAAAAACGGAAGAGTCGCGTTTATGTTCACTTGTTCCTACGTTGCCATCTACAGAAAATATTTTTCTGAAAAACTATTAATTTTATATTTACTCATTATATAAAATTAATATATTTCTACTTTAATAAATTATTTATTTAATATTACAAGATTAATGTATTTACGAATGATAGAAATTATTAACTTATATGAAATAAATTATACATAATATTCAGTGTTATTACATATTAAAATTATTTTAGGCCTAATTGAATGGATAAATGTTTCAATAGAAATTAATTTCTCGAAGTGTTGACGCATATTTTACTCGAAAAAATAAATAATTATCCAAACTTTTTATTCAGGTAATTGTTTTACGAGTTTAAAGCGATTAAATATTATATTTTAACTCAGTTCTAATGTTTATAAGTTAGGACTAATTTATAATTTAGGCCTAACTTATTTAGATTCAAAGTCAAGTTATAAAATATCGATTGTAATAATTATTTTAAGATTTCTTCGTTTATTATTAAAAACAATACGAATTTATTTGCTTTCAGAAAGCCAAAAAACATGTTCACCAGAAGACCAAAGTCAACTAAAGAGTACGATCAAGTGAGCTTATTGTTTTTATAGGCCTAAATTTCTTGATATACTGTTATAAATTTTTACAGGACAAGAGAAATAGTTAATCATTTCATCTGAGTTATTCACTTTAGCTCTCCCCAGTTCTTGCATTTACCATGTACTGTATCATGTACATTTATCATGTATAGTACATGTCCATGCTAAAATGCAAGAACTGAGGAAAGGGCTTGAGCCATTTATAGTTTTGCCTTATCATGATTCGATTTGAACTTGTGATATTTAACTATGTAAGATGCTCTTCGCTCTTTAACAAATAAAAATGGACAGTACGTAATAACTTTTTAGACTCCATCCCACATCCATACTGTTTGACCCTATTATGGATCAGGCCCATTCGTGATGGGTAGTACAGTATTGTTGCTTATAATGGGCTAGTCCTCAGAGGGAAAGCTACTGGGGGGTTGACAAGACAAATTTCGCTGAATAGTTGTGCCACCAAAGTTATGCCATATAAAAAAATATGTTTTCGAAATTAAGAGAAATATAGCAATATAAAGAAGGAGCCTCATGCTCCTTCTTTATATTGCCCCGTTCCCCATACTCATTATGGGGAACGGGGAAGAATGCTAGCCTTCTTTACTGGCTTTTTTTTTTTTTATAAACTATCAGCCATTGCTATCACTAGGCAAAATCAGCTTTCAATGACAAATGTCTAGATACGACGCTGCTAATGTTAAATATAGTTAAATAATCAATCAATTAATCAATTCTTACGAAGTATGGAATTTGATCCCTCCTTGAGTGAGATCCTACGCTAGGGATGGCGAACCTATGACGCGCGAGCCGAAAGTGGTATGTCGAGAGAAATCATCTGGCACGTAACATATACGAATTCAATTTATCATCTGTGTTTTTCATTTAGCCTTCTGGTTTATCATCTCATCATTCTTTTTTCAAGCAGCTTTATATTTATTTTAATTTTTTAAATATTGTTATTCGAAGTCTAAAACTTTAGCACCCATAAACACTTTTAAAGCTAAGTATGCTTACTATATGGCACGAGGACTCAAAAAGGTCCGCGTTCACATTTATTTTTGTTCGTCCACAATGGCCAACAAAGATAAATAACAGACAAGAATATAAAATGATGGGGAATGATTTCGTCCAACGATAGACAGTTACAGACTGAAAATGATGATGAAGTCTAGATAAATTTTATACTGTATATATACATATATGTGCGCTTTAATGCCTTTAATCTTGACTGTAAAAAATAATCACCCAATCCATGAGATGTTTTGATCACGGGTCGTAGACTTTGTGCATGTCTCTCAGTCTCTGTTGGCTTCGAGTCTTGGTTCGGCCGAACCACTTTCTGTCATTGTAATTCCGCCACTAGTGTCTGCCGAAGAGTAGTTTTTGTGAAAATTAGCATCAAATGAAACATCGTTTAAATGTAGCCTGCACACTTTGTATTTAAAAACATATAATACACATACCGTGCAAAAATAATATAACAAATCACATTAAGTGATGAATTATCATAAGAGGATCGGTATTAATTTTTTTAAAATTGAATTATGCTCGCTTTTTACAATTAATTGTAGCGATCTGCTTATCAGTATGCATAATTAATTTAAATATTAAGCTAGTTTTATATGGCTGTGTTAGTATCTCATTTAACCTGAGGATGGCCTATCGAATAGGCAGATAACGTTAGTTACGTTTAAATAAATTTTTCTCAGCAACTTAAGGTGTAGTTGAATTGTCTACGTCTGTGTCTTTTCTATTTATGTAAAGCTGCTTGCTTAGGATATCAGAATCTATGATAGCGTAATGGTTTTCAGTGGGAGTAAATCATGCTGTATTTGTGAAATTCTGCATTGCCTTTCTCATATCATACACAATAGCTGTCGCGAAGTTGTAAGCGTTTCTCTGGAAAAATATTCGGCTTTGAAACAACTCTGAATTCATGGCAGAACATTTTCCCAAGCTCCTCAAATCCATGAAATGGTTTGGGAGACACTAAGTTGTTTCGAGCGATGCTCCACGATCTACATTCACTATTATGTGCTTCAGAATCATTTGAATGTACTTTTGAAATTTAGAATTATGCCTTGATACAGAGGTCGAGTGAGCGAAGCGAAATTCGGAGGCAGAAACATAAAATCGATGGAGCACTGTCAAGAAACAATTACACTTTTCTCTTTTGGCACATGTTGAGAAATGACGAGAAATTATGAGAGAGTTCTCATAATTCCTCTCATCGCCCAGACTTTTCTGTTTGATTTTCATTCAACTTCAAATTGTATAATGTGTATATTTTTAATCATTTTGTCATTGCAGCCTTTTCAACTACTAGGCGTTTCTCGCGTTTCCTGTTCATACTTATTTTGCAACTTTGCTACGGAACATGATTGAACTTGAAGCACAAAATGTTTGTCACGGATGGACGAAAGAACAGTCCTGTTTTACTGTGTTCAAAATATTTTCTGGAAAATAACTAGCGATAATGAAGAAATGTATATCTTTCCACTCTGACAATCAACTCCAACAATACAATCAACTCCAGATGATTCTTCACGAAAATCTTTCAATTTGATAATGTTACTTTGGAAGTCTTTCGAGCCATGCATTTGAGGTTTGAAGTTCCACAACACCTAATTCAGATGCAAACGGTAAAGCTTTTGCTTGTGCGATATAGAAACATTCAGAATTGTAACCCTGCAGAACGTTGCTGTGACTGCTGTTTGACAATGAGAGCGATTTTCCTACCTGGGAACTGTCGATTTTCTGCCCGTTGTCATCATACTTCAATGACAGAGTAACTCTTCTTGTGTCTTGACAATTTCCTCAGCTTGAGTTTTCAACCTTGCAGAAAACTCAAGCTTGAAAACTCAAGATTTTTCAAGCTTGAGTTTTCAAAATTAGCAGAAAATTAGCAGAAGCTGACAGCTTCTGCTAATTTTCTCATTCCACACCTCTGTCGTTTGTGACACCCGATAATTATGTATACAGGGCCTTCTGAAATGAATGCTACGATTTGAAATTACTGTAATTATGGCAGCTATTCTAGAAGTGTTTTGCGTCCTGCAATTCGCGAAGTCAGAATCACTCAGCATTGTGAAACATGAGTAATCTTTAGGAGCAGTAGAATTGCGGATGTCATGGGAGGAATGACGAGGGATATGCCTTAGCGAGCGTTGAAAGAATTTGAGTATCTGTTGGACTGTGTGAAACGAGGTGCACGTGTTGAGAAATTGTAACGGGCAAATGCCAAACTTGGACACTTTTCCGATGTTTTAATGCATATTAAAGTGTTCTCGGATAATAATTAACACAGTTACAAATTTTTAGAATTAGTAACATTCTTATTCTTTTTGGAAGACTCCCTCTCTCTCTCTCTATATATATATATATATATATATACCTTAATTCATAACATTATCATCATCAAATCATGTGATTTTCAATCATATTAATTTCTCATGACTAGACATAATTTTAATTGTTTGAGATACTTCAGTTTAGCGTCGCTTTTCATTTAGTGCCAATTTCAGAGTCGAACAAATGGTGGCTGTAAACCCCGAAATAACCTCCAAATAACGGTTATTTTTTATTTTTTCCTCAATGGCTGTTGTGCTGAAATTACTTCAGTCAATTTTATCAGTCTTCAGTTAACCTATCTGTTGTCTAGAAGCGAATTTAATTTGAAAAATCCAACAACGAGTTGCTTAACTTTCTCGGCAAAAAATTTAAAATTGCGTATGGCGCCATCTGTTATGATATTTTGTTTAAAAACTTTTTATATTATTATTTTAAAATGTCAAAATGCTTAATTTCGAGGGTAGGGACGAGTTTTATAAAAAAAATTCTAACGAGTAAATTCTTCGCTAAGTTTGATCTCGGTGAAGATGCGACACACGACCCGCTCTATCTCCCCATCCCCTCGACCCTTAACCTCCAAAATTTAATAGCATTAATGCTCCTAATACCCAAACAGCCCTGTAAAATTTCAGAAACTTTCGACAAAAGATACAGGAGTTATTAAGCTTAAAAGAGGGTGAAGAAAATCGTGTCCCCCACACACTAACATCATAAATACAGGAAAACTCCCTCATTTGCTTTGCATTTCTCGACGTTTCAAGGACCGGTGTCCAAAAATTTAAAAATTGTTTGACTCCTAGATCGTCATTTTTTGACTGATGTGTGTTTTTCCCTGTGTTATATACAGTATAACATCCGAGAAAGTATAAAAATTAAAGCCTAAACTTAAAAATAATGCAAAATTTCTGCTGTCTTTTCAAAATAACGATGCATTATTTTAAATTGTTATTCGACAAAGCTAATTAAACATTAACCGACACCGTTTTCATTATTAGATAACGATACTTAAGCTAATTAATATTAATTTACTCAGAAAAAATGACGCTTGTTAGCCCGAAACCGTTTCGATTAGGACCGTTTATGCAGAGAAAATAATTTTGTGTGTATAAATGAATTATTATTAAAGTTATTCGCTGTTTGAAAATAGGTTTAACAATAATTGATCGATGTGGGATATATCTAATTTATGCAGAATTACGATCCAGTTACATTGGATTAATTAATTTAAGTAATTAATTGTGTAACTGTTATTATGTAAGACGATCAAGAATAATTTTTGTACACTATAAATTGCAGTAAAATGATTTTTATTTGTTACAGAGTTTAATGTACAGTATAGTACAGCGTGACGTTTGTTTATGTCCGTCTTTTTTCCATTTAAAATGATGACATAATTGACACACATTACAAGACTGTGTCTAGACAATATATGAATAGTTCAATTGTTATTTTATTAAATTTATCCGCAGAAAATACAGAAAACTGTTAGGTTCAAATATGTTTTTATTTATACGATTAAGGATTTTACGGGATTTTCTGCAGAAGTTTTTATATTTGAAGAAAAATTGACAGAATTTAGGCCTATATTTAAAGATTAAGAATTTACAGGAATTTATTTACAAAATTTATATTTAAAGGAACTTTTAGGATTTTTATAGATGTTTAATTTCAAATTAAAGTAAAAAAGTAGCTGTTTAGCTGTAAATTATTCTCTATAAAATGTGTTTAAAAAGTCATACTCTTACTATTATGGCTATATTTCTTTGAACGTTAGCGAGTTAAATAAATAACATGTATCATATAATGAACTTGTCTATAACGGAAAGATCAGAATTTCCGTGTTGTAAAGGATCCGTTTTAGAAGAGTTTCATCTACATTAGTAGGATAGATGCAATTTTTTATAAGTTTTCTTTATGTATACTTTACGAAAACATGTAAATTTAATTTTAAAGATCATTCACATTCATTAATTAAAATACTGCTAAATTTATGATCATGAGCATTATTTATTACATATTTTTTTCATAATTCACGCATCCAAGTGTTGCCGTTTGATATGTGGATAAGTAATTTATGTACTGCAATTAATTGCTCTACATGCCCTTGAAAAACAATTGAAACATTTGAAAGGCCTTGTATGTAATTATAGATCTTTTTATTACTACGAAAGTGTGCGTTATAGTCATTTGTAACACGGAATTAACATTAAAACATTATATTTATTCTAATCACATTCGTGTCTTTAACTGCCCAGCAGATAATTTCTCGTTAATTTGAAATCTAAAGTGAAAATTAAAAAAATAATAATAATAAATTTGTTTCACAGCGTTATATTATAATGATCGATTAGTAAATGAGTTTAAAATTTTGAATTAATGTTTTTTAATTGTTTATGCTTGCAGAAGATAGTTAACTTTTGTTCACGTCAATGAATTGCGATAACTCTTGTATATTGTGGAGCGTTATACCATAAGAAAATAAGATACTTGCCTAAGGCCCCAATACTAAGAGCCTCAGTTGATTTGCTGAGCCTCTCTTATGCCTCCTGCCTCCTGGCGACGGATTCTACAGATTAATCCCGTTCTTTGACATTGTTTAGGGTGCGAGCGAGAGAGAATATGTGGCGAGAAGAGGCGAGACGCCATAAATATCAAAACCCTGTCAGATATGTGCGAGAACCAGAAATTCGCTCACGCCAGCGAGATTTCTCGCTTCTCTCTTGTGCATGTTTTCTTTTGTGAGAACCATATAGCTCGCAACCTCTCGCTCGCTTAGTAGCGAGCGAGAGGTTGCGTTTGCATAATCGCACCCTAAGGTATGCGATGGTGGGCCCGAAATTTACTTTATCCGGGGCCCACCATTTACTTTATCAAATAACGTGCTTGTATACTAGCATTTCGGGAATATTGGTCTTTTACTCTTTAATATGATTGACAAAAGCGTATTGGATCAAATAATCTTAATTTATTTATAATAATTAATTACGTAAATTATTTTTTAAATTTTGAGAAAAATATAAGTGAATTTCTTTTAAAAATTACACTTAAATTCTTTCACTTTTTGTAGGCCAAACTCTTTGCATCCAACTTGAATAGCCAGAGCAGATTCAATAGTTCTTATCATGTCGTTGTACAGTTTTTACTGCTTAGCAATCTCTTCCTTAAGAGTAGCTATCTGATTGCTTTTATCAGTTAGGATCTTTTCTAATTTGAATTCCACGTTTCCTAGTATTTCTTTACTGACGTATCCATTATTAACCAACTCCTCTAATGCCAACTCCTTACGTTCTAAGGTTAATTCAGTGATTTCTAGTTTCCTCTCAACGAAAGATTGCCTAAATTTCGATGTTTGCTATATGTCCCTTACCCGTTTCACGAAATTCTCCTTCAGGATGTCTCTGTCTTTGGTCACGGAATCCAACTGTTGACGCAGGATTTCTAATTGAAGTTCTTCTTCCGATCGAGTCTTAATTAGATATTTCAACTGACTTTTGGTCTTCTTCAATTCAGCTTTATCCATGTCACAATTATTCAATTGCTTTCTTGACGATGCCAATACGCCAGTTGCTGATTTTCTTGCATCAGTTGGTTTGCTAACGACTGAAAATGTCTGCTTTTCTCTTTCTCTTTGATAATTTCCTTTTCCAAATTATGTACCACGAATATATTATCCGTAATCATAGTCTTGGAGAAGACAGTGAAGTGCTTCACTGTCTTGGAGAAGACAGTGAAGCACTTCAAGTCCGTTTCGTGGCTCTTGAGCATCTTCTGTACTTCGCTTTTCGCTCGATCTTTCCGTTCGTGGTATTCGGCTAACCTTAAGAAATAGTTACATTATTTTTCTTTATTAATTAAACAATGACATTTCTTCCTTATCTTCTCCATTTTCTCGTTACATTTGGCTCTTTCTCTATCCAAATCTTCCACGTACTTCAACTTGAGCTCGTTGCATATTCTCAGCCTTGCCAGATCTTTCTCCTCCATTTTGGAAGTTAAAGGTGAAAGTTATCTGATTTCATACGTAAAATTTCTTTTTCTGAATTCACTTTGCATGTTCTATCCTTCTCATTGAGCGCATTTTCAAAGTCTTGAACCCTTTTCTCATTCACATAATTCAGATGTTTCGATTTATTGCAGTAATTCAATGCTTCCTGCTTGCATTTCTTTCTTTCCATTTCCAGTTGTGTATTAAGCATCTCCGCTCTGTTCGCCAAATCATTATTTTCTTCTTTTAATAACAGTACATATTTGGAAAATACTTTATTTTTTTCTTTTAAGTAGTTCATTTCCTTTATTTCTTGTTTCGATTCTTGCTGGAGACAGTATACATAAATCTTTAAATCTTCAGAGTTTTCTTCAGTTACTTTTGAAGATTTCGTAGCCGTTTTCTTCGTTTTTTTCGGGCGTATAATTTTTACTTTTAAAGTAGAAATCTCTTGAAAATACTTCATTTTTGCAAATATTTCACAATGTTGGCAAAAAATTAATTGTGACATAATGATTTGATGCGCTTTTAAAATGAAATTTGATCTTACAAATTCTACAAAACTCATATTATTTTATTTTATAAATATAATATTTTTACAGAAAATAATCTTTATTTTAGCTTCTTCATTTTTCCAGAAATGGCAATTTGCATGATAATTAAATATTCCGTCTATGTAGTGTTATTACGCTACTTTAAGGAAATTATGAGTTTCGAGTTTTCTTGAGATGAAGATTTTACGATCGATTTTATATGCATTGTGAATTACTGCTACTCCGTATCAAACAGTACTGTGTACTGTGCAGTATATAGTACAAGACAGTTATAGATTATGCGAGGTCCTAGACGAGTGTAGACTCTCATAACTATAGACAATGTAAACCCCCAATAGTGATATTGTAGTACATGAGAGAGGGACCTAGCTAGTACTCCCGGATATTGGACCAAGATGGGATATAGGTAAGAATATAGTTTTCTGTCTGAAGCCCTAAACAAAAAATGCGTGAAACTGCCAGTGCAATGCATACTGTATGACAGCTTCACATATATACTCTTATTTTGGGCCTTGCCCTTTTGAGGGACACGCCGTATTCGTTTTCGGCTTAGTATTCAGATTTAATAGTCAGGATCCTAGATTTTATCATTTTATATTGTGTGATGCGGGCTTTATATTGTATAAAGTCATATAAAAGGAGTTCCAGAAGTTCCTTGTCTAGGGCCTCGCTTAATTCATAACTGCCCTATCTAGAACTACGTTTCAGATTTACAGAGAACTGACTTTAAAGAGAGCACAGAGAGGAATCACTACTCTTGACTGTGTAGTGTTAAAGAGAACACAGAGGGAGTAAGCATTGTACTGCACCTCAATTGTGATCTGTTATTCTATAGACGATAACTATAACTGTGGCTTATTTTGCTACATTATTATTTTATAATATTAGTAATAAGGCGTATATACATAAATTTACATGTAGTGTGCTGAAATTTATGTTAAATAAACTTTATAAAAGTTATTAACGACAAAAATAAAGTGCACATGATATTTTTAAAGAAAAGAAATTTAAGTTTAAAACACAGATTTAATTAATTGTTTAATAAGTGTAATGAAATTTAAAATGCCGTATTTATAAAATATAAAGAAAATCTATATTAAATTTATTTATAATAATGTTTTTTTTAGCAATTAAATTCTCTGAGGAACGAGAATTTTCATCTGAAGCTGCGATTATTTCTCTTAGAAGAGAAAATGGAGAAAAATCAAATAAACACGAAGCAAAATGTAAGTACAATTAAACTTTATTCTTAGGTGAAATTAAAAAAAGTTATTTTATTTTTATCTCCACGCAATTTATTATGTAAAATTAAATAAAAGAATAGATTTTTAAGAGAATAAACACGAGTAAACAGCTGCACAACTTATTTGATGTGTTACTCCTTATGGCTTCCACTACTGTCAACAGATTTACAAACAATATAATTAGCAAAGAAACTAAAAAAACGCTCGAGATTTATGCAGTGAGACTTCGATTTAGTGATACACTTTGTTCGCCTCTGATATTGGCCCTATATCGAGTGCGGCGCTAAACCAAAGTATCTCAAACAATGAGAACTGTACTGTACAGTACATGCAGTGTTAACGAGTCTACGCATAAGTTTCGGTTTGAGAGTCACGTGATTTAGTGGTTACGGTCTAACGCTCTATAGCTACAATACAGTCAATTCTCAATGTAATGATCTTCTAAATAACGCCAATACCGTAAATATTCTTGAACGGATCTTCCTCTTAAATTTTAAATAGGAACCGTTCAATATTTGAATTACCAAATATAGGGCATACGATCAAGGAGAGCAATCATTGGCCTCACACCCCTTCTATTCCTTTTTCTGAGTACTCTGTTACATTTCCCCCTTTTATGTATGAAAAATTACCCAAATCAGTCGATTTGGATAATTTAATCTGTATATTGATCTATATAATAAAATTTTAATATAATTAAAATTTTATTACACAGATTCTGTACTGGGCTCTAGGTTACACCCCTCTCGTCGGCTCTGTGTAGACGACATTCAGTGTTATCACCACATCACGTGATTTCCAAACTCGAATTTGTGTTTAGACCTCGTTATTATAAAGCCTATAATATTTTATTGTTTGAAACGATTCGATTTTTCGCCACACTCGATTTGGCGCTAATTTCAGAATATAACAAGTTAAGACGCTAAATTGAAGCTTAAATCTAGTTTTTAACAAGTTAATTCTCTCGATATCTATCCCTTGATGCTGATTTTACTACACTTTTGGATTTTAAAGACCTTTCAACCCAGAAAATCACCACAAAACAGAAGACAGCCCCAAAAATTACTAAACAGCAGATTTTATCAAATTTCGCTCGATTAACTTTAAAAACAAAGAAGTAATTGTCCAAAATAATGAACATTTGGGATGAAATGAGATAAAATATAATCATAAAGGCCTTTTCTTTAATTTGGAAATCCTTTATATAGCATTATAGTACTATTAAGAGTCGCCAGTATAATGAAACGTTAAATTGTACGGAGATAAGCCGCAATGCGCTAATTTAAAAAAAATTTGTTTTCTAGACATTATTTAGGTCAATGGAGAACATTTCTGTACAAATGTTTTCCATTAAAAAAAACAAATAAGGTGCTGTAGAATCCATTAACTTGAATAAAATCTTGAGTTAAATGCAATAAGTAGACAGTCTTCCTGACTTATTTCTGAAACTTTATATTTAAACTAGTGTTTGAAGTTGTATAATTGAGCTAAATTTAGTCACTTAACCTTCTTAAAATACATTTAACATATTAATTATCTCGATATTAATACGATATTAAACGAATTATTCTTGTAATGCTTATAGTTTTCATTACTTTTTACGAGTTTAGAATATTTTTATACTAAAAATAAATGGGCTAGCAGAAAATTGTCCTTGTACTTTTGATCAGGACTATTATGGTTTACTGCATCTTTATTCAGTTATAAGTCCTGCCTTGGATTCATTGTTTTTAGAACTGTTTTAACTTCTAAGTTTTCCATTGTTTTCTTTATTATTGATTCATTTGGGCATCACATTAACCAGTTTGATATTTCCTTACTTATTCCTGATTAGAGGGTGATCTTACTGCTGTTTGAGAGGAGAGAGATTCAAATTCTTCCTTCTGTTCTTCAAGGAGTAGAAAAACAAATCCAAAAAAAAATCATTAGAGAATAGCCGAGAAGGAAAGAATAACAAGTCATAAGTTACTTAACAATATATTTCATCCCAAATTAAAAAAAAAAATTGGACCAGTTTCAAAAAACATATTTTAAAATATAATATTTAAAATGTATACAAGCTATTGATCTGTTTTTTCGGTAAACCTTATACGAAATATCTTCTTTAAAACAGCATTTAAACACTAATGATAATTTTCTCATTGTTATTTCTTGGAAAGCATTAAGACTGTTAAATAGGGCGGCCCAAAAGTCAGTTAACCTTGGTTTTTACCTTCCGGGTTTTACCAACGAATCATAAACTGCGTTCAGGGCAACGTGTTTTTCTTTTACAACAATGGTGGAGTTTGTACTACTTTCTAGCTTATGGTTGAGAGACAGCGATTTAACCTTTACAATAGTTAACTGAATTTTGAGCTAGCGAGTTTAGCGATGAGACTGATAATAAAATAAATATAAACAGCACTATTTCCCTCTGGTTATTATTATTAATTTACCCGTCTCTCTTATAACAATGTTCAGACATGAGTGTAATTTTCCTGGATATTTCATACAGTAAGTTACAATCTGGCTAATTCGAAGCTGTCTACATGTCCCGAGCACAGAGTAATTATACGCTTTTCCATATAATACGATCTGGTTAAGTGGAAATAGTCAACACTTTTAACCTATTTTTCCGTGTAACTTCCATACTTTGATCTTCGCTTTCTTTTATATTCCGTGTGAGTTCAAACGATCGCCCATGCCGAACACACCACTTCATTACAAGGCGTCGATATCCTTTTACTGATACAGTATGTTACCGGTGTTCTGATTGGGACAAGGATGTGCCTGGAAAACGTCTTAAATCTGTTTACAGTTTTATTTATAATCATTGTGTGAACAAATTCTCGAGAAACAACTTGATAACGGGAAATTGACAGGCACAGAAAATGTTGAGAAAATCAGGTATTAAACTTGTTAACTGGAAACTTTAACTGGACAAATATGGGATTTCCTTACCTCTTAACTTCGACTTAACGTGGATTCTATTACTCTGGTAGGAGGAGAGAATTTATGCCTATAAGCCTGAATTTTGTTACTCTTATTAATCTGAATATTAATCTTGTGCAGAGATTCTTTCAGCGTTGCATTACGCTACTAGAAGAGAGAGCGAATTCAGTCTTATATTAGCATTAATGAAAAAAGATAGAACGGTTGCAATTTTAATTTGTTTGGATATTTTAGAAGTTTTGGAAATTAGAATTTTCAAGGTTTTATATAATTAATTCCAGTTTTTATAAGTTCAAAAAACAGAAATACAGTATACGAGTAATATGATCAAAGAGAAAATTAGTATTTAATTGTTAAAGTTTATCCAGAAAATTAACAGTTAATCTTACTTCATTGTAGGGTTTCCGAGACGTGAATGAGAGAATATGGTCGAAATTAAAGTGTAATTTATGCAAAAAGGACGAAGAAATCGAGACATTGCAAACGAAGTTGAAGGATAAAGAAAGGGATGCCGAATTGTTAAAGAAAAATCTGGACGATGCGAAGAAAGAACTAGAAGAAGCGAAGAAAATAACTATCGAAAATGAATCTTTTCAGCGAGAGAAAGCATATTTACAAAGAGAAATTACGGAATTAAAGAGACAGTTGAAGAAACAAGCGGAGGAAGTCGCTAAACCTTCGCAAGAACTAAATTTAAATCGAATGGAAAAGTGTATAAACACCGAAAATGGACTAAACGGTAGGAACTTGAACCCATTTTGTTCCTCTATTAACCAACAAAATAAGGGCAGAGGTAAAAGAGGAGGAAAGGTAGAAGTGCCTCATGACGATAATGAAGTGGAAAGATTGCGTCGTCGACTCTCCATATCTGAAGATAATGTTCTTCACTTAATGAAAGTCTTGGAAACCAAAGATAAGATGCTAAATGCTCTTTTAAGAAAAAACGAATTTTCAAGTTAAATATTTAGATTATCTTCGTCTAAGGAATCTGATAAAGCCGTCTGCTATAAATATTTAAATACATCCGAGAAAAATGAAGCGTGGACCGAATAAGAGATAATGTTGTGGAGTGAATCGATAATGATGTAGTAGGAATTTTAATGCGTAACGTTTACAAATCTGACGTTCTTCTAGTTATATATGAATATGAATTTTGCATAAAATTTCTATATACGTTGTATTATCCTATCATTAAGGTAAAGTTAATTAATTTGCAGGCGAATTTCCTAGCTAAATTCTGTAGAATTATAACTTTATTTAACGTGTAAATGCTTTCTGCAACATCTAGAAAAATTCATTATATTATTTAACAGTGTCCCGATTTATTTTGTATTTTTTTTTTAAATTATTAAAAATCAGTAAAAATTAGGCGATTTTACATTGTTTATTTTTATTCCTCTTTAATTACACTATAAAGAAAGGCAAGAAACGGTATTTTATCGCATTTTTTTCCATTTATAACTGAAGATTAAAGCAAAAGTATCAAAAAGGAACAAATTCTATGCCATTTTATATCTGAATTACGCTCTGAAAGACTTTAATCTTGAAATTTTTTGGACAATCTCTCTTAATTTTTTGCTTAGTACTTACAAACGGACGTACTCTTAAAACTTAGTACTAAATTAAACGAGAAATATAGACTTTTAGCAATAAGATTTATCAAGTTTTTGTATTTAGAAGTTAAATTTCTATCATTAAATTATTTCATTTTATATTTTATTTTGTCAATTAATTCGAATTTTGATATATAGAAAGTAGGTTACTTGTAGTTTTGCCAAAATTATATTGTAATCAATAACATTTTTTGAGAACAGTTATTAGGGGCTAGAACTGCAGTAACGTTATATCATCAGGAAGTGCTTAAAGAGTTGAAATCTTTCGAATTTTTCAGGTATGGAAAATATATTTTTTAAATTCGAATTTTATATATCATCTCCTGACGAGGTCTTAAAGAAATTATAACTTTATACCCTATAATTTTAAAAATATAACGTCATAACTTCCATATTATACAACCAGAATTGCAGTCAAGATAAAGAAGCTTCAGTGTATAGGTTCTTATATAATGTTAACTGCAGTTCTACTTGTATTCTATTGCAGATAAATATCATACTTGAAGTTACAGTACATATTTATACTGTTCTATATACTTTCCTATATATTCTTCTATGCGCTTTCGTATGTACTGTACAGTACAATCACTTAAAAGGTTAGAGATATCTTTTCTATTTACAGTGATGCCTTTCTTAGAAAGATACGCGCGTAAGTGGACAGCTATCTCCTATAAGAATATGAAGCCGCAATTTTAATATTATTAATTTAAAATTTATAAAATTAACTTTCTATCCACATGATAAACCTTCAGATAAATATTCAAATTTAGTGAATATATACGTGTATAAAACACAAAACAGTATACATCGCATATTATTATTTTTGTGTAACTCTTAGTTTGTGGGAAACAATGCTTTTAAATGCAATAGAGGTTACAATATCTGCAATGCATTGTAACTGCATAACAGCGCACACGAAGCGGATCATCAATCGAAAAGAGGGTCAAAAGACCGTCAGTCTGTCTCCACGTCTCCTCCTCCTCCACCTCCTCTTCATACACAGACGATGTTAGCATCCAAATGCCCTCTCCAGCTGTCCAAGTGACTTTTATAGTCGTCCTCCTTCGTCTCTCCTTGATCCTATGCCACGAAGATCCTTGTTACGACGAAAATGGGCAACCTAAGTATTGTTTCCCCCCATTTACTAACGTTGCCTCCAATGTTTTAGTGGAAGCTACTAATACTTGCGGTGTCAAAGAACCGATAGAATATTGCCTTCATGTGGTCGAAGAGTGCAGGAAGTGCGACGCGCACGTGCCACGTCTGTCTCATCCACCTTCCTACATCACGGATAGTCACGATAAGGGTAAACCTACTTGGTGGCAGAGCGAAACTATGAACGAAGGGGTGCAGTTTCCAAATCAGGTTAACATTACTTTGCATCTAGGTAGGTTCTAAAGTAAAATTAAGCTTAATTAGTAATGTTTCGTTGTAGAAAAACGTGTTTTATGTATAAAACTACGTTTAAATGCATAATTAATTTCTTCTGCTTAAGAAATTATTTTAAAATTTAATTAACTTTAAAAAAATTATTCAGTTTTGGAGCCCTTAAAGCGGTCTTCTTGGCATTGTTACCGATCTTGCAGAGAGGTTATCTCTCTCAAATCTGCAGTTTTAATATTTAAATATTTATAGTATGAATAATTTTTTAAAAATTGAGAATTAATTAACTTAAATTATACTTTAATTATTTTTCTTATAAAATTTTGATAAATTAGGTTTATATTTAGAAATATTAACCTTTAAGTAACCTCAGGAAGAGTTGTATTTGAATAAAATTAATTAAAATGGTGGTTTTCGTGTAAGATTTTCAACGAATGGAAGCCTTAAAACATTCGATGTCATAATTTGTGTACTAATTTTAATTTATAGAGTCTGTCAGTCACGCTGTATATTTTGAAAAGGGTTCATTCGATTCAATTGTGCCACCGTTCGGTTTGAACAAGACTTCTAATTTAAATAAAGCAAAATTTACATTTAAACACCTTAATTTTTAATACAAAATGTTTTAAAAGATGTGATTTAGTATCAGAAAATTCAGAAATTTTAAATTAAATAGTCCCAAAGGAAAATTTAAAGTTTAAGAGAATGATTATCCTCGATGATAATATAGAAAGAATCGTTTATAGTTAATATAAATGCTGAAAAAATAATAAATTTTTAATAGATTTTGATTATTTTATTTATACTTTTATAAATTTATTATATTTTATAACTCTTATAAATTAATGGATTATAAGGTATTTAACTTAGTTTTGACTTACATAATTCAATAGCCAATATGCTAGGAAGTTCCTACAATTTAACCTTAATTACAGTTTAAACTTAAAGTTCATTAAAGAATTATTCAAATTAGAATTAGAATTTTATTTTTTAAATCTAGCTTTTATTTTCAATTTTATAAATCTTGATCTTCAGTTGATAAATAAATCGTCCTATGATACACTAGAATGCTACGATAAAATGATAAATTCATGGCATCTTTCAATGGAAAGCTGCTATGCAGCTGAGAAATAAATGCCCAATAATTGCTATTTCTGATACTGATAAATGAATCTTTTGTGACTATTATACAAAATTGAGGTTTTAAGTGTAAAGGCTCACTCTTTTACGGCCTCAAACACTCATAAATATATACTTAGCCTATTGACATCTGGAAGCCAGTGCTAGTGGTATTCGTAGATCTTGTACTGTAGGTGTATCGTGTGATACTGCTTACAGATGAGGCCTTTCAGGCCCACTTTCGTCTAAAGCCTCCTACAACCTAAAAGTTTATTGCGTTTTGCTTACCCCATATTTTCCGTGTTATAATTATAAAATGGCTGTACGAGGTAGGACTTAGGATCAACTAAAATGATTAATTAATTAATAAAATATTTTTTGTAAATAATTAACTACATTTTAATTGTTTTTTCCTGTATTTTAGGGAAAACTTTCATCATTTCTCACATCGCTATCGAGTTCTACTCCAGTCGACCGGAAAGTTTCGCCATCTATCGAAGAGAATCGGAGTCGAGTACATGGTCACCTTATCAATATTTTAGTTCGTCGTGTCTAGAGACTTACGGCATATCGAATAGCACTTGGTTAACAGAATATAACCAAACTAAACCCCTGTGTTCGTCTGAGTATAGCGACATTTCTCCCTTAACCGGGGGTATCGTCATCTTTAGTACATTAGCGAGGAGACAGAGGATTTACCAGTTTCAAAACAGCACGGAGTTACAGGTAGGTCCGTTTCTAAAACCTGTTTTAGCGCGGGATTTAACTGACAGTTCGTTACAGACGGGTTTTATTTAATAGGAGTGGGTTAAAGCGAAGGATATTAGACTGACACTCGACAGATTGAATACGTTTAGGGACGAAATTTATGGAGCGCCCCACGTTTTGAAGTCGTATTACTACGCCATATCCGATTTAACTATAGGTGGAATGTGAGTATAAGTACAAATTTATTCTTTTTAAAATAACAAAAATTTATTACATATTTAAATATGGTAAAAATGTTTTTCGCACTCTTTCCAAATAAAAAAGACGTAATTTTGTAGTAAAATTGAATGAACGAGTTCTATTTAATTATATATAAAAATTTCACAATTTTTTTGGGTTCAGTTGAAAACAAAGGATAGAGAAGGCCTATATTTCCAATCACTCCGACGTAAAACTTTATATATATTTATCACCAACGAAGGAAAATTCTCCGTAAAATAGGAAGCTGGATTGTTCAGGATGGTTCGAACTTCGTCTGATCTGTAAAATACAAGTGCTTTTGCTTACTTTAATACGCAGATTAGTTAATTTTCGTATAAAAATGTACTCTTACAGTAAATTATGAGGTTTAACACAGTTCGATATGAGTCGAAGAAGATTCGACGTTTTTTCAAAATGCTGACCTGAGTAGGTATCTTGTGAGATCTGGGGATGAATTTGAAAAGTTCAACGTATATAAATTAAATAAATTTTGATTTACGGTTTAAATTCAATTATAGAATTCGCTATTACCCAGTTTTCAAAGCGAGTAAACTCTGTTCTTCCTTCGATTTCTTTCCAGCACCTGTCAGAAACTGCGATTAGTAGATACTTCGAGATGCATTGGTCTTGTCAGAACAGTGTATACTTTTTATGCCAGTTTGATGTAATTCTCCTCCTCTATCTACGCCCTTCAGTTCGTGGTTGGGAGGCAGCGCGTTACTTTCCTACCATTCTTTCCCTAGCCAACTGCTTGATCACATAATATTTTTTAGCCTGTCCAACTATTCCTGATTTTTCCTTAACTTACCTTCAAGAAGTGTAATATATCAGTCCGAATATCTCAAAAGGTATCACCCTTTTTAATTGTTCCCATCGAGCTTTGTTTTTATTAGGGGGACGAGAAAAATGGCATCGAAGTAACGTAAAGGTGTATACCATTCTGATAAAACCGGTGCAAATTAAATGCGAACACGGTACAGTACGTATGACATACTTTGAATCCATTTCGGGTTGATTGGCTACGGCTATCAGAAAGTCCAGTTTCTTTTGAGAACACCAAAAGTAAGGATGGCTGCAAAAGTTTTGATTTAAGATTAAGCCAAGTAAAACGTCGCAGTATATACAAAGCAAATCATTAGTGCTTAACATCACCTAAACTTTGTTATAATTCCTTTCTTACTTTATAAAATAGAAGTTTTTTAAACTCACTTTAAGACCATGCATGCCGTAGGTCTGGTGGTCGGTTCGTAAGATATTATCCAAGCCACCAAATCATTTAATTCTGGACCAAGATATCGGAATATGGGATTACCTTCACCTATTTTCACTTGACATTCGATATCATTGGAACCGAAAGGATGTAGGCCAGTAAAAATAAAGTATGTTAGCATTCCAGCAACCTGTAAATACACTAAAATGTAGTGAAGTTTACGCATAGTTTAATGGAAACATCAATTATTTTATACTTGTATATCGGAAGCGGCCGTAAAGGCAGATTTGGCCACCGATGTACTTATAGCCGTAACGCATTCCTGACATCTCCAGCTGTAAACTGATGACATAAAGTTATCATTACATTTCCATTGGTTCCTGTCGACAAGCATACTTACCAGATACTTCATTAGGAGAAGAATAGGTTAAAATTCCGCAGAGAGGTGGCCACACGTCTAACAGACCGAAATCACTCAAAAGCAGGTTGCCATTCATGCCTATTTGGACATTGTTTGGCTGTACGAAAGAATAATTACGTCTGTTAACGCGTAACAAAACATCATAAGTACGTTAGGAACGAAACCTTACTTTTAATCGACCGTGCAGAATCGACTGGCTATGCAAATACTCAAGACCTTCGAAAAGTTGATGGACCAACTTCTTTCCAACGATTGGTAATAAATTATTCGTTTGTACGAGTGGTAGATATTCTTGTAGACTGTATTCGCACAGTTTCGTGATCGTGTATACTGGCCCGCATGAATAATTATAGCACACCTCCTATAAGATTTAAACATAAAATTTAAGGTATACTTATGTAAACATAGTAAGCATTGACCCTCCTTTTTTGCAAATCTCGACGTTTTGAGACCCCGAACCCAAACAATAAAGAAAAAAATTCTAGCAGCAAGAGTTGAGTTGCGTAACTTTCCCGGCTGTTATAAGTTTTTTATTTAAAAAAGTTGGCGGTTATTTGCCAAACATTGATGAGTGATGAAGGTATGTTTGTCTAAAGATAACGCCTTATTAAAGAAGTTAAATATGGATAAACTATTTGAATTTTTAAACCATTCTAATTTTACCGTTTTCTGTTATAGTTAGGCCTATATAGACTCATTTGTCTATACATCAAAAAACGTTTTATATTTATTTAATCAAAACTTATTATTTAAAAAAATAACGATATATTTATATATCGAAAGCTGAACTATGTTACACCAAACACATCTTAACTGAGGTTAAGGTTGAAAGTATGGCCTATATTTTAATTCACTTACAAGTATAGGGAGTATATTCTTATGATGAATCACATTGGACGTTAAGCGAAGCATGTTCTGTGCCGTTGTTTTGCAGGAAGTGTTGGAATATATTTTCTTAATTACAACCTCCTCTCGATTATTATAAAAGCCGAGGTAAGTAGAAGTTTTTCTGAAAATACGAAATGTGAAATCAATTAAGAAATGATAACGATGAAATTAAAACGAACTTATAGGACAGTAAATAGCGAGTAAAAAGTGAGCAGGTGAGAGCAAAACCGAGGAAAATGAGTAAACGTAAGCAGAAATAAGTAAAAATTGAGCAGAATTGAGTAATTATTGAACAAAAGTGTGTAAATAGTCAGCAAAATATAAGTAAATAGTGAACTAAAGTGTGTAAATAGTGAGAAAACCGAACTGATTACCCTTGGCGTAGAGTCCATTCCTTCCGTTCTACATAGAAAGCAGATTTGACAAAACACCTTTGATTCTCAGGTTCTGCTAGGAGTTTACAAAGAAGAGGTTTCCATCTTTGGGATTGCGGTCGCCATTCTGCGAAGATTTCTTCCCCCGATTTCGATGCGACGTTTATCCCAGTATCCAACGAATTTCTACACTTCCTCATCAACATCCTCATCAAGTTTGTTAAAACTTCCGACAGTAGCTGTACGAATCGTTCCGATTCGGGATCTTCCGTGTCGTCATTCGTTGTAATTGCAACTCGATCTGCTGAAGTTTCGGAACCACCTTCGGGATCGGCCCTATCTTCTGTAAAGTGACAATTAGACGAGGGAAGGTCGGAGAACGTAATGCTGGCAGCTTCCAGATTAGGCGAAGAAGTATCCTTGTGAAGATCCCATAAATGGCAGGAAGAATCATTGGCGACGTTTGATGCGTTCGTAAATATCCTAGTCGAGATGAAATCACCCCGTGTGCCATCCAATTTTTCTAACGGCTACCAGAAAGTTAACACCGTAAATTAGCAAAATATATGGTTTTTCCAACTTAATACGATATTATTGATATCGAAAGCCAGGAATTTAAATATACGGGGTGATCGAAAGTCGATTAACCATTTTACAGACTAAAGTACTGTCTTGTTCAGACACTTCATTACTTACTAAATTTGCAAAAATTGTTCGAAGTCAGCTGTTCTTTTTTCAATACTCAAAATACACTTTAAAACATTTTAAAAAATTGCCGAGTAACCTGCAAAAAAATATGGTTAACCGACTTCGGGGCGGCCTGTATATACAAACTTACTTTGTCTAATGGTTTATGGCACCCTGATGATAATAAAATCGAGGGAAAATCTTTAGAATATTCGTCTAGTTCTAGATCTATCGACTTATTTAGATTTTTCTTAACAGCACTGGCATAAGTTCCGGGGTGTCGTTTACAACCACCAGAACGACTAGATTCCGATTCGATAAACTGATTGCGTGGTCCTTCCCAGTAATTAATATTAAGTGACCAGTCGTCTTCTTTGATTCGCGATCCGTGCTTTTGAGAGCAAGTGTTGACGGACTTCGCACCATTTTTATTTTTGTCTGTTTTTGATGTCGATGACTTGTTTTTTCTTTCGGGAGGGCTTTTACCCTTTTTCTTACGTACTGCCAATTCGAAATTGTCACCCTTGCTTTCTCGTGTCCGAGTGCAAGGATCTAAATTACGCTTTGTTAAGGGATCGTAAATCGTTCCCGTTTCCTCGTTCTTCTCACTTTCTTTAAGTTTAACGTATCTGTTACTATTAACGAATAGTTTCGTCCTCATTTTCTTTATCTTCTGATTATTCGTTTTTTCTGTTTTCGAACCTTTCGCTATCATTAAATTTGTGATTAAGTCACCACTTTTAACGCAGATTTTCTGGTACGTGTCCTTAAATCTCTCCCATATCACCGATACTTTAACTTGCTCCTCCTCTTGCCAGTAGTTTAGGATGCAAAGATGGGTACTAAATTCTGTTATATAGGGGGTCAGAAACGTAAAATTCTTCTCTAACCATTTCCTACCGGCTTCGACTTCTGCCACCGCTTGAATTGGTAACAGAGCGGCGCATCTCAATTGAAACTGATCTTCCTCTTTATAAATCTTCGCCACCTTTAATATTAGTTCTGGAGCATTTGCTTCTACGAAATCTTCAACCAATTCTTCAACGATGTACTTACTATAATCGGCTTTATCGTATATCAAGCAAGCTGAAAGATGGAACAAGGTCCATAGTAAGTCAGCATCTTTTACATTTCTCTCGGCACATTCTACCAGGTTGGCAAAGATGCCATTCGTATGAAGAAGTGTAAATCCTTTCTTCATTTTGCGACGTATATGCAATAGAACTGGGAATAACATATCCTTAAGGAATGAAGAGGTGGCTGCTGGACAAGTCAGTAATTCGATCCTCCTCTGTACAATTAGGAAACGTTTTATGTATGAAAATACAATATTTCTGTAGAATTTAACGAAAATTTACCTTGACGAAGGTATTTTTGAAGGAGTAATCCATTTTCTGATATAAGCAACACGCTATTTCGGGGTGCTGGTGGAATACGGCGTAACATAACGCTGTAGCTCCTTTCTGTAAAGCATATAAAAACTAAGGCTGGGCTTCGTTTATCAAATTTAATCTTATCTGCTCTATTCGAGAGCTCAAACTATTACTTTCAAAATGTTTGGCTCTTCATCAGATAACTGGATGTAGTGTACAGCATTGTACAGTACAGTACAATGCTGTACAGCACACCTGTGACCAGCCAAAATGCTCGAACGTGCTTGATTGTAACTGAGCTCTCCAATGAACAAGAGTACTATTAAACATATATACAGTACTCTGTAAAAGTTCTTTGTTAACATTAGGGTTTACCTGATCTTCAAGCAGCAAATTCGCACCACGACAGAGGAGTATTTCGACTATTTGCATATGACCTTGCGCAGTTGCTATCATCAAGGCCGTTTTCCCATTCTGTAAATGGAGTTAATTCAATAAAATCAAAGCTAAAAATTGTATATAAACAGCAAAAGTACATTAAAAAACCTACCAAATTCTGATGGTTTATATTAATGTCATGGCGCGAGAACATTGAAGTTACTCCAGCTTCCCAACCCTTATCGGCTGCTAGTACTAGAAGGGTATTTCTGTGCTGAAACGAAGACGTATTTTAAACCATATTTTAATTTTTTATAAGCCTCTTTTATATTTAAAATGTTACTTTATCCACGTGATTCTGATCGCATCCTCCCGATTTCTCTAAAAATCTCCAGAGAAGATCGAACGAGCCGATAGAGTTGATGATCGACGTCGTCAAGACATCGGTGCCTTGACGACGTCGAGACTCAGAGATTAAATACTCAATAAACAGTGCCTAAAGGTGAGGAAAACTTACACGAACCTTTCTCAGAACGGTTGGATCGGCTCCTGCCTCCAGAAATTTTTTAATTAAATGCACGTGACCCCGTTCGACTGCCATGATAAGTGGAGTAGTGCCATCCTAAATATAACAATATAATGGGCATTTAACCAAGAATAAATTGATAAAAATACATTTTAAATTGTAAGCTCTCACCGCTATTTGCACGTTGATACTGTCACCGGCATCTAACAAGAGATCAATGGCTTTCTCGTCACCTAAGTACACGGCTTTCACTATAGAAGGATACTTTTTCTAAAGCAAAAAAATTGGATTTTGGAATTAATTCAAATTTTTTAAAATTAATTCGGAATTTAATTTTCATTTATACGTTTGAATATTATTTAAAATTCTGTAAACGAATCAAATTTAGTATTTAGCTATTTAAAATTAAATAAGTATTTCAAACGAATTTATATAGGACTATATGTGATGCAGTTTTAGTTTCAGGATTTTAACATTGAACAGAAACGTACTCGGCAAAATAATTATTCAAGTAACAAACACCTTATTTTTTGCCAAGGGAGTTTTATTAAAAAAACTAACGTTTTCGATCTACTCCATAGATCAGGATTTTATACAGTCGAGCTTTCAACAGCGGACATTTTTTTCGGGAATTTTTTAAAACAAAAATGCATGGAAAATAACTTGCAAATAACGAGCTACTTTTTATGTTTAATCTGTTGTGTCGGAAGTTTGACTGTATTTAATTCATAGAACGAATTCTCCTCCTCCTCCTCCTCCTTTCTTCTCTCTGTCCTCTCTCTCAATTTCTTCCTTTTCCATCTCTCCTCATTCTTCTCTTTATTTTTCTCCCTATATATTTTACGTCTTTTCATTTCTTTTCATCAGACAAACGAGAGGGGAGGAGGAGGAGGAGGAGGAAAGAATTTATTTTGTTTTGTTTTACTTTAACAGTTTACCCAAGCAAAAGATGGAGAAAGGAACTTTTTTGTGAGGTTAAATTTGAATTATTTTTACTTAATTTTTACAAATTTTATACATGTTCTATCAATATATTTCGTGTTAATTAAAGAAAGCACAAAAGACCAGAGTTAAAATTAGGCAACACTTAGCTTGGTTGTGACTTCCCAAATTTTTCAAAGCCTGTTTCTTATCTGGAATATGTCCACTCAATTCTACAGAACAAAATGATAATGCAAGTTTCATTTTTGTGGATTTTAAGACGTTAGAAACAGTCTTATATAGAATACATAGCTATATAACGAGGTCTTGAGACTGTTCGTCGAATCTTTAAAAGTTTAGAAGGCTTCTAATAATAAAATGGAGCTTTAGAGTCTTGGAAAATAAGCAAAATTACACATCAAACTACGTTGAAATCCTATCAATTATGGAATTTTATGACTGTCGTAATGAGTAGAAGGCTTGCAAATAATATTTAACTCTAGAATCGCACATTAAATTACCGGCTGCTTAGATTTCTCGTGTTAAAATTATAAATATTTGCATTATCACCGTATAAATTAATTAACGAATAACTCGTTAAAATATTTATGAAGTTACTTTAATTTATTATTAAAATATTATTTTTAGAATAATTAGGCAAAATATCTTTTCAGAATTTATGCCTAAAATAGGTTAAAATCTAAATATTAATCCTCTCGCAAGTAAATTCACAGAGTTTTCTCTTACCAGCTCCTTTAGATTTTCTTTAATTTCGGGTGAGACGTGATTTATTAGATTTGAAAGATAATTTTCCGCCTTTTTTCGTTTATGTTTCGAAACTTTATCTTCGACTGTCGACATTTCGTCGTTGAGATTCCTTTTATATAAATTATTTGGAAGAAATTAAACTAATAAAATGGTTTCTTCAATTAGAATCTAACGGTTTTTAAAATTTAAAAATCGAACCGTCATTTTCAGAACTCTTATATCATCTGTCATTCGCTAGATGAATTTTTTGAACGAATAAATTAACCAATAGAATTTTGCTTACTAAAATAAATTAATATAAATATATTTTTGTATAAACTTTATTAATTTTACTGTATTATTATTTTTTCACCTTTATCAGATGCGAATGTAACGGGCACGCGAGTCAATGCTTGCCTAAGGCATTGCCTGGTGGAATTCAAGTACTGGAATGCCAGTGCCAACATTTCACTACGGGACCCGACTGTAACGAATGCTTACCGTCTCATAATGATGTACAGTGGGAGAAAGCAACTGTAGATAAGGCTTTTCAATGCCAAGGTAAACTTCTTTCTTTTTCTTCTACACAAAATCGATGTAAAAATCTAGTTTACAGGACGATTTACGCTTATTATTAAACGTGTTAGATGTAAGTTCTTACGTCACGAATCTTTATCCCCGTTCCCGTGTACGCTTTCCACCAATGGCAACTTGCAAAACAAAAAACGAGTAGGGAGGGAAGAGTCCCAGTTCAGGAAGTAGGTTGGTTACTACTGTACTTGTAAAAGTCGGACACCTGTTACAAACTTTCCCTCTTCTGCTGTCATTCTCGCGGATGTTGATCTCGGCAATCACTTCCGAGCATCGATTTATGTATAAAACGATAAATATATCCTGGTGTTTAACGCTTTTTCGTTATGTTTCGCCGTTATCTTAAGTGTTCTACGTATTTCTTGTATGTCATTGTGCCAATTTTGTCAATCGATGCGGCTTCGCCCCCTTATCAACACCAACAAAGGCTGGAGGGTAGAGGTAAGATAATAGAAAATACTTTTTTGACATGGTAAGCGATTATAAATTCGTAAAAATGGACTTTTTTTTATACGTTAAAAGGTGTAGATTTTATACGCTGACACTCCCATAAGGTGATTAACAACTTGTAGGATGTATACATTAATATTTATGCCTCGTTAGCGAAAGTATGATCTGGTTTATTGTGTATTTACATTTAAGTAAACTTTCTCTTGTCGTTAATTAACTATTTTTTGGATGCGTGTAGGGGAATTAGGACCGCTTTAACATTTGAAAAATTAGTCAATATGGGTGCCGATTTTGTTCGGGGTTGATTTTGTCTTCGCTGTTTTACAACAGATGTCAATTTTTGTTATGTTTAAGCGTGGGACGATAGGCGGAATAAAGGTGGGNGCCAGAGCGGGAGCCGAAGATGTTATTATAGAAGGTGGAGGGTTGAAGATCTCGTCACCCATCGTAGGCCAAGGAAATCCGATGCCCGAAGCGCGGAGTAGTCAAAAATATAAATTTCGTTTGCACGAACACCCCTCCTTCGGATGGCAGCCTAGACTAAAGGGGAATTAGGACCGCTTTAACATTTGAAAAATTAGTCAATATGGGTGCCAATTTTGTTCGGGGTTGATTTTGTCTTCGCTGTTTTACAACAGATGTCAATTTTTGTTATGTTTAAGCGTGGGACGATAGGCGGAATAAAGGTGGGAGCAGGTAACTTTAACTGCTGTGTAAGGATGAAATGTAACCAGTAATTTCTATACAGAACTTGCCACTACGGGCTACATTAATTTATCTCTAATTAATTTAGCTATACAGATAAATTGATTCAATTAAATTTTAAGGCAATTCTATGTGAAAATCCCTCGTTTACACTGCTTAAACATTCGTTAAAGGTATAAGAAAACGATAAAGGTGATAGAATTTGTGTTATTGATGATAAATACTCATTATAATAAAGAACCTTATTAAGATATTGATTCTTTTATATGCTGTTATCAATCTATAAACTACAGTGGGTACTACAGTACACAGTACTGCTGTACTATACGGTAATACTATAGTGTTGTGTAGTACGAAAACTAACAACTAATACTATACTACAGTATAGTTAAACTGTACTGTAGTATAGTATAGCACGAATATAAGCTGTGGATAGATATGGTAGCTATTCGCCTAGTATATTCTAAACTATTGAATAGTTAATTTAACACAAGATGGCGGCCTAACCTTCCACCTTTAGTGCCAATTATGTATCAATAATATTTTTATAATTAATTAGCCTTATTAAAATCCGTCGTATTGTCTGTTTAATCAGATTTTGTTTGTTTTCCCCTTCTCCTTTCTTCCTTCAGAATGTAACTGTAATAGCCGATCCGAAAAATGCTACTTCGATATGGAATTATGGGAGAGAACGGGGCACGGAGGTCATTGTGTAGAATGCAGAGATTACACAGACGGCCCCCACTGCGAAAACTGCAAGCCAAACCATTTTCGAAGAAGAGATGGAAGATGCGCACCCTGTAATTGCGATCCTTTAGGTAGGCTAATACTAAAACGAACAATTTTCGGTATAAATTTATCAGAATTTTATTAATTATGGATGATTTTTTCCCCAGGATCATACTCTCTTCAGTGCGATAATGAAGGAAAATGCCAATGCAAACCAGGCGTAGAAGGAAGGAGATGCCAACGTTGCTCTTCTAATTATTTCGGTTTGTCTCCTCACGGTTGCAGGTAGATTTTCATTATTATTACTTTCCCGGCTCTGTTAGCAGATGGAAAGTATGGCGATCGATCGAAAAATGACCCCCCGAAAATTTTTACATTTTTGGACTCGGGACCTCCTAAAATAGGTTAAAATCTAAATATTAATCCTCTCGCAAGTAAATTCACAGAGTTTTCTCTTACCAGCTCCTTTAGATTTTCTTTAATTTCGGGTGAGACGTGATTTATTAGATTTGAAAGATAATTTTCCGCCTTTTTTCGTTTNCGATCGAAAATGGACCCCCCGAAAATTTTTACATTTTTGGACTCGGGACCTTGAAATGTCTAGAAATGCAAAAAACGTCGTTTTTTTCTATGTATGTTTATGTGTGTATGGGGGGCATGATTTTGTTCACCCTCTTTAAAGCTTAATAACTTTGTGCTTTTGTCGAAAATTTCTGAAATTTTGCACGGAGGTTTGTGTATCAGGGGGATCGATGCTATTAAATTTTGATGACTGAAGGTCGAAAGGGTTGGGAGATAACGGGGGTCGTGTGTATCTGGAATACAGTCGGACTTAATGACGTTTTTACTTGTTATTAGCATTTACAATTTTTTATAAAACCCATTCCTACTTACCCGCCAAAACTTTGTTTTGCCTTTTTATACTAATTAAAAATATAAAGTTTTTAAAATAAAATATCGGAACAGATGGCGCCACCAAATGTTGCTGGGAAAGTTAAGCAACTCGTTGCTAGATTTATTTAGAACGTTTACGGTATAATTGTTTAATTAATTAATTAATTATTTACAGTTCTTGTGACTGTAATTCCGCTGGAATAATCAAAGAAATTCCCATATGCGAGCTTACCACTGGCAGTTGTAGATGTAAAGAATACGTAGAAGGACATAAATGTGACAGGTGAATAATTAGAGGATTTTAAAATTAAATCTTAACGAATATTAACGGAAATTTATAAATCTTAGATGTAGAGAGGGATACTTTGATATGCAAGAAGAGAATGAATTCGGATGTGTTTCTTGTTTCTGTTATGGCCATTCGAATAAATGCAGGAGTACTCCTGGATACTACCAAGTTATTATTGATACAAGCTTTAATAATGGTAATTATCGATTCTTTAATGACTTTTCTTGAACTGTTTAACTTAACATTACGCTGTCTTCTAGATAAGGAAGACTGGAGAGGTGAAGATCACGGAGTACGTGTACCTGTGTATTATGACCCTGATCTTCAGGTGTTACAACTCAGGTCCACGAACAGTCACACCATGTATTTTTCTGCACCAGGTAATTTAGGCCATTTAAATTGAAACATTTCAAATTTATGCGGTTATCGACACGTTGTTCCTCGTTTAGTCTGTTATTTGGGTGATCAACGAGCATCCTATAATCAATATCTATCGTTCGAACTTCGGTTCAGTGGAGAAGGAGCCAGAGCGGGAGCCGAAGATGTTATTATAGAAGGTGGAGGGTTGAAGATCTCGTCACCCATCGTAGGCCAAGGAAATCCGATGCCCGAAGCGCGGAGTAGTCAAAAATATAAATTTCGTTTGCACGAACACCCCTCCTTCGGATGGCAGCCTAGACTAAGATTTCACGACTTTATGAGGGTTTTATCCAATGTGACGGCTATCAAAATACGTGGAATCTATACCCCAGGAAGTGAGTAGGTTCTTTATTAATCGGAAATTCGTGACTTTCAATTAATTCTGTTTGTAACCCCCTCCCCGAAGCCATCGGATATCTGGATAACGTGAGATTGGATTCTGCTCGTCAAACGCCCGGAAGGTTAGAAGCCACCTGGATCGAAACTTGCCATTGTCCTCCTAGTCATACCGGACAGTTTTGTGAGAAGTGTGCCCCCGGGTACACTAGAAATCCACCCGGTGGTACAGTTTTTGATACCTGTGTGCCCTGCAGTTGCCGCGGACACGGCGATATTTGTGATCCGGAAACAGGTGAAACTAACGTGAAGTCATTTATTATATTCGCTCGGAATCGACATACAATATTATTCTTGCAGGTGCCTGCTTGTGTAAGCACAATACAGTGGGGGAGAGATGCGACAGGTGCGCTCCAGGTTACTATGGGCTAGTGAGAGGTGCTCCCGGAGACTGTCGACCTTGCCCTTGTCCGAATCAAGGAGCTTGTGTGGTCCTTCCAGACGGACGGATAGCCTGTAGAGAATGCGAGATAGGTCATACGGGTAAGTAAATATGTGTAAAGCTTAAAATAACAATTGTTCGTTGGTACTTTTCCTGCTTAAGTCACAGGTGTGAGAAAATATTAAACACTACAAATTGCGCGAAAATGTTTACAGAAAATTCTAATTTTAATATCAAAGATTATTTCTGTTGATAATAAAATATAAATTAACAGCATTCAAAATATTCAAGATAATTATCATTACTTTAATTGAAATGCACACGTATTGTACTGATGCACATACCAAAATAAAAAAAAAAAACTTTTTTTGGTTTAACAGATGATACAAAGACAATATTGACTTTAAAAACAAATATATTTACAGTTTTGTTTTTAAAAAGACAAGTTTTTACTCCTATTCATTATGTCACTGATAAACACTATCAAGTATTGTTTATATTATTTTATAATATATAATATAAACTATTATGTAGCTAGATATAAATAAAATTTGGAACTACAGCAATCAATGCGTTTCGTACTTCTGTACTGTACATTGTAAATTTTTATATTTATCCACCCATAATGGGCAGCCCAATAGGACAGAAATGAAGTATTTTCTTTCCCTATAAATATCTTTTTAGTTCATTATTTTCATCTTTATTGATTGTTATTAAGGGAGTTAGATTGGTGTAACACTTAGTTTCCTAAAAACATTTTAATGATTTTTTATTCCAGAAATTTTGAAAATAATTATTTCAATTTTACATTTATTTACAAAAGTTGTTTACACGTCTTTCATTTATGCAGATAAAAGTTATGAACACATTGTACTCTCAATAAATAAATACACTCTTAATAAAACTTAAACATTTAGTTTTAAGCCATTATTAATCAACTGAATTAATGTATCTTAATTTCTGAAGTAGTACAAACTTAAAAATAAATTAATAATGACGTCAAAAATAATTAAAGATAAGATCTCATGATCTTCAGCACCAAGAATGCAAAAATTCTTTTTAAGGGAAGAGAATTTTTGGTCACTGAAATCAGTGAAATCGGATTATTTATCACCAATATGTCATTCATTATCTCCAATATAAAATCTAGGATAAAATGCGAATATTAATACTGTATATATAACTACTTTTGATGACATGGCATTGATTTTTGAAGAATTTTACCCGTCTCGTCGAAATAATAATAATTATTGATAGTAATTAAACAAATAAAATTCACTTAAATACACTAAATTTGTCACACACACTAGATGACCGAAAACCACTGCAATTCACTAGTTTTTGATCACGTTCACCTGTTATGGTTGAAAGCAAGTCGCGAGTCAGACACAACAAAGTAAGCAATTAGGTTTTTGGCTGGTTTACTATATATGTGACACGAAATAGCCAATAATTTATTTAAGCATAAAATAAATCACCGGTTAGCGGGGAAACTCGTGACACTCCTAGAGTTTCTTGCGACACCCCGGAGCGTCGTGAGAGCCAAGTTAAAAACCACTGCACTAAATACATCAGCAAATGCGCTATATATATATATATATATACATATATATGCTCTTAAATTGCTTTCAACGATAGGCAAGTGAGATTTGCCTTATCTATAATTCAACTGATTAATAATTGTAAATTCTCGTATTTTATGAGAATTTACAATTATTAATCAGTTGAATTATAGGTAAGGCAAATCTCACTTGCCTATCGTTGAAAGCAATTTAAGAGCATGTCTTTATATGAAGTTTAAGTAAGTATATACATAATTTAATTTTATGTAATGCAGGACCAAAGTGCGAATTGTGCGTAGACGGATATTACGGAGATCCTAAAGGTAATTACGGCCCCCCTAGACCTTGCAGAAAATGCCAGTGCAATGATAATATTGATCCTAACGCCGTGGGAAATTGCAATTCGTAAGATCGCATAAATAAATAAATAAATAAATTTCTCACTTTCGATTAACTTTAATGTTTTAAAGCCTTTCGTCACGCGAAAGTTCACTTATATTCGTTATAAATTCAAGTATTTTTTTCGTGTAATTTCCCTTTCAGGACGACTGGAGAATGTCTGAAATGCATATATAACACAGCCGGACGAAATTGTGAAAAATGCAAGACTGGATATTACGGTAATCCCCTGGCTGTACCCCGAAGAGGATGCCAACGTGAGTCTTGAATATTTTATAAACCCTTTTCGACTCGTCTTCGAGCTATTATTAATTTTTGTCTCTGTGTTCTTTCAGCTTGTAACTGTTATCCTTTGGGTACGGTACAGCAGACCGGTGCTCCTAATTGTGACGTCTTAACCGGGCAGTGCAGGTGTCGAGCTAACGTGGTGGGACTAGGCTGCGACACCTGCGAGGTGGGATACTGGAATATAGGAAGTGGCACGGGCTGCGAGAAGTGCAGCTGCAACCCAATAGGGTCGTATAATCAGACTTGTGACGTCAGAACGGGGCAATGTCACTGTTTGCCAGACGTAACCGGCAAGCATTGCGACACATGTCGACCCTACTATTACGGGTTTTCTTCTTCGGGATGCAAACGTAATTATCATTATACGTATTATCATTAATGATAATTACGTTTAATTATCATTATTAATTTAATATACTTAAATAACGGTTTAAGTATATTAAATACGCATTAATTATGAACTTTAATCACTTTTTTAGCGTGTAATTGCGATCCCGTTGGATCAACTTCGCTGCAGTGTGATTCCGAGGGACAATGTCCATGTAGGCCTAACATGCAGGGTCGTCAATGTACTCATTGCCGTGATAATAAGAAGTTTCCGACGGAAACTATCTGCCTAGGTAGGCGATTACATCATATTTCATATTGTAATAAAATATTGATATTCTGTGTATTTAGTACTGAATGCCGGAGTTGTGATATGATTTGGTAGGTTCGTGTCTCAAATATGCATACACATCCATATACAGCTGGATCTGCAGATAAATATAATACTTCAAGGGGAAAATAAATAAAATTAAGTAAAGGAATTTCGACAAATTTCTACGTTTTAGTCCAAACTCACGTGTTATATTAGATTGTGTGATAGTACTATTGGTCAGATGACAGATCGAAATCGCCAAAATTGTTCGTAACTTGAAATTTATTCAACTTTTTTATAGTTTACCGCACATGTAGTAATCACGAGGTTTAATTCGAGACATTATTATGCTGAATTTGATCAATGGGAACTATTTTGTACGCCTTTTTTAAAATATATAGATGAGTCACATAAGGCTACAGATTTTACCTTTTCTTCTACTCATAGAGAAGTTTTAAATTTTTATTATATTTTCCCTTATCTGTTATATATTTGGCGTATTCATGATGCCCTTTCTACAAGTTTTGTTAACTCAAAAGCAATAAATTAATTCATTAATTTCTACAGCTTTTTTCTTTAAAGGTTTCGAAGCTTTTCTTTAAAAATTTATTCGTTATATTTCCATATCATGTTGTAAGTTTTTATATAATTAACTTATTTGTTTTATATCAACTAAATGTTCATAATTGAATACAATAGCTGATAGTTTAGCTTCTTCCTCATCCTGACTTTATCCAAAAAATTAGGAGTTGGTAGCTTTAATGAGTCGTTGCCATCTCTGTTTTTTTCTTTACATCTTCATCTATCAACTGCTCTTTTATCGTATCGATTTGTATTTTATCTCTAAATTTCAATCTGTGTCTTTCTTTGTCCACTTAAACGTCTATCAGGAGGCAAAGGAAGTTTTTCTATCATTTCACGAGTGTACACATATAGTGCATGCTTGTTCCGGAGCAAAAATAACCGAAGGGGATCAAGTTAAACCGATTCAGCATAATATACAAATAATCTCTGACTGTAAAGAATAAACATAACCCTGTTAAAAACATATTCAAAACGTTATCGAGCCATTCGTCCACCGTCGTGTTTAAGATGTACAGATATCATTCACTATTCGGGGTACCGTCGATGAATAGGGGACCGAAGTATATTCTCGCACCAAATTTTACACCAGACGTTTAGGGTAGGAAAATACACTTGGTGTCGCGTGCATCGTGGAGCACGGTCTAATCAGTGGTGCACATTGTGACAGTTGTACAGTCTATTCCGGGAAAACAGTGGCTCGTCGGTCCACAAAATGTGCTAGTCGTTAAGATGTAAATTTAAAATCTTGTTGCACCACTCAAATCATAGTGCTGCATCCTCTGTATGTTATGTTGTGCTGGGTGCATGTCACAGCAACATAATATCCTGTGTATTAGTGTCCTCTGCAGTCCACAACCTAACCCGACAGATGCTGGAAAGATCTCTTTTGCCCTTGGTTAGATGTTTAAGTAAACACACTATATACGTGGTTTTTCACAAGTCACACGCAATAGGAGATTGTGCAGAAAAGCATCAGGGGCAAGTGTTTATAGTGTATTGGTTATACTATTGTCAATTGTCAAAGAGAAATGAATTGCTCAAAATTCATGTACCTGATGGAATCACTTTCATCTAATGTATGGCCCGGCTGCATAATTCTGTAACTCACAAAATACCTTGTTGTTGTGAGGATTGAACTTGCTCTAATTAATGCACGAAACATTACCGGTTTTTATAGATTATTGTTGTGGTTAATTTTATTTAAATAAAACTAAATATGACATTTAAACCGGTAATGTGTTGCGCCCTTGTTATAATCCGCATATCGAGTATTAAAAGAAAACACATTCAATCCTCACAACATGCCGATTTACATTAGTTGAAAGTGATTCCGCCACACATATGAATTTTTCCGCAGTCAATTTCCGTTTGACAGTATTTCAGACCCGAAATGATGCATCATGTAACCTGCATACTATACACTTGCCTGCAATCTCTTGACGCTTTTTCGCACAGTTTTCCAAGGCGCGTGGCTTACGAATCAACATAATAAATACTCTATTTAATTAATATATAATATTTATTCTAATAAACAAATAAAACAACTTAAAAAGAATCCATTTTAAAAAATTACAGTTTATGAGTACAGATTCGTGAGTAATTTTACAGATTGTCCAGCGTGTTACACATTAATCGAAGAGGAAACCGAAGAGGTGCAGAACAGATTGGGCGAGTTGGCACTTCTTATTGAAGAAATTCAAAACCACGACGAAGTAGTAACAGACGATTTCGAATTTCGAAGAAAACTGTTCGAAGTCAAAGATTCTCTGGACAAACTAGTGAAAGACGCATCGAAAGCTGCAGGTCGGTTATTAAAAATATTTCTTGCTCGCGCCAAAATTTCGAACTGGTTTAAATTAACTCTCTCTCTTTTTAGCTCAAGAGAGCCCATTGATAAAAGATCTAAAGGATCTAAGAGAGAAGATAGAAGCGGTTCAAAACACGGCAGGTAAAGTTTCGTCTCAGATACCAGATATACAAAAAGGCAGCGGAGAAGCAGATTCCAACATCACTCAAGCCGAAGATATTATTAATCAGATCGAAGAGAGTTTAAGGATCGCTCGAGATTATTTCGATAGTCGATGTCGCAAAGCGTTACAGGATGCGTTGGATCGGTCCGAAGAACACGACGAACAGTCCAAGAGGATGTCCGAAATTGCTAAAGAAGCCAGGGTATTGGCTGATAGGTAAGGAGTTTTATCATAACTTTAAGGAAAAAAAACGAGTCCAGGAAGCGTTTAAACACTACCCAGGAATAATGTGTAGTGTTTAGAATAGCGGTTCTTAACCAGTGGTACACGTATCCCTAGAGGTACACAAGGAGGATCGGTTAGTGCTGCAAGTCTATATACAGATGGTTCAGGTGGCAATCGAGTGAAAAAGGTTGAAAACTGCTGGTGAAAATCTGCATAATCTTACAGAATATATTACAAAAATACACAATAAACGTATAGTCTGTTATTCCTCGGTAATAATATTTAAAATTAAAATTACAACTTTAATTTATTTAATATTTTAAATTGATATATCATTAATATTAAGCAGAGCTCCCATACTAAGCAGACCGAGTTGCCTAATATGGTAGCTCTGTTTATAATATGAGAACTATATTAAAAATATTTTAAATACATGTAGTGTTTTTTATTTTTGCAAGAGTTTTGTGGACAGAGACACATTAAATTCACTCGTTCTCGTGATATTAGGTTTGCTTATTTCTGCAATTTTACCTGCAAATGTTTTATTCATTCTGAATACAGTAATGCATATAGATCTATATAACGATATAGGCCTACGTATAAACTTGGAAATGATGTATAGACATCCTTACTCTAATTAAAAACTTAAAGTAAATCAAACATTTTCTCTTCTTTGCTAACTACTGAGTATAGGATAAAGTCAGTGGCGCGTTATCCTATGAGCACAAAAGGCAATTGCCTTGGGCCCCAAACCAATCTTTTATAAGAAAATATTTCCCCCTAAATATTCCCTCGAAAAAAATGTCTTAAGTCAACACTGCACATGGGGCCCCTAATTCAAAATTGCCTGGACCCCACGAAGCTCTAATGCTCTACTGCAGCGCTGTCCAACTTATCATAGTCCGCGGGCCATATTTTTTTTATCAAACATTTCGGGGGCCAAGAAGGTTGATAAACCACACGACATTTGCATAGTGCTACGGTTCAGTAAGCACTAATTGGTCAGCGAGTCCGATGTTGACGCTATAAAAAGGCGACAGTTCGACACACCGGATATACGTCACTCTCGTCTAAGTTCG